TCAATTATTTGTTGGATTTTGATTGAAATATATGAACTTGAGTCCCACATTGGAAAGGAGGAGAAAGCATATACTCCTTAGTAGGCTTAGAGCATCCACAATCATGCTCTCTATTTTTAGTTAAAATTTAGCTAAAAACACTATAAAGCTATTTTATGAGCTCTCTATAAAATTTCAACTCCAACCATATACTCCCTAGTTTAAAGAGTCATAAATGTTTTTAATAAATTTTAATTCAATTTTTGAATAAAGTGTAGACACAAAAGCAATAATAGAAAATAGTTAGCATTAAATAAATGCTTAAAATAATATTAAATATAGAAGCATTTAATTATAGGGAGTCACTAGGAGTACTTTCTCTCTCTTCGAATTTAGGAGCTCCTACAGGTCTCTCTATTTTAGGAACTTGATAAAGAGCATGGTTGGAGGTGGGTTTTTTCAATTCCTCCCTAAATTTTAGCTAAGGAGGTGGGTTAAGGATCCCATTGTGGATGCTCATATGGTTAGGGTTCGAGGCTTGAGAAAGGTTTTGGAATAAGTTCGGAAGCTAGGGCTTTTTGTTCGAGACTTGGATTTATCCAAAATATATATATTTTTAAAGTCCACAAAATAATTTAAAATAATGAATTACTATTTATTAGGTAATTTATAAAATGAGTAAAATATTTAAATATTCACTAAAGAAATAATAATAATTAATTAAAGTAATTAAGAAAGGCTAAGATATTACTTAATTATATATATTAAACTAAAGAAGTTGCCCAAAAAAAAAGAGTAAAGAAACTAATTTTATATGTTTAAAATTCAAATTTTATTTATTTATTTATAAAAGAGAGAAAACCTCTCCCAACGAAATTTCGTCGGCACAATTCTATCCCAGCGAAAATTTGCTGGATTACATATCTCCCGACGAAATTAATCACAACCGACGAAGTTTCGTCGGGAGAGATCTAATCTAGACCTGTACCAACGAATATTCGTCGAGAGAGGTTAAAAAAAATTAATATATATATATATATCTTTATTTTAAATTTTCTTTTTAGTAATTCAATTACTTTCATTTGTAATTATTTTTTAATTAATTATTTCTTTAGTGAATAATTAAATATTTTAATTAACTTCATAAATTTTATTATTTAATAAATGGTAATTATTTTTATTTCATAAAATATTTAAATACTAATTATTCACTAAGTAAATAATAATTAAAACATAATTACTAAATAACGTAATTAAAAATGGGAGATCAGGATTATGCTATTTTAAAAAGTATAGTCGGGCGGCTATACCTTTAAAATATTATATTTATAGAGTATAGTCGCTGCTAGAATATTCTATTTATAGAGTACAGTCGCTTAAAATTTTCTATTTTTTAATTAATTAAATAATATCTTAACCTTATTTAAATACTTTCATTGGTAATTATGTTTAAATTACAATTTGTTTAGTGAATAATTAGTATTAAATATTTTAATAAAAATTCTAGAAATTTGGTTTTGGAACTCAAATATTTTAGTATTCCAAAAATGAATTTTATCCTCGAAACTTAAATCCAATTCGTAAGGTGATTTGATAATATCAATTACTTTGTTGGAGTTTGATTGAAATACATGAACTTGAGTCCAACATTGGAAATAAAGAGAAAGCATCTACTCCTTAGTAGGCTTGTGGTTAGAGTTCGAGGTTCAAAAAAGGTTTTGGAATAAGTTCGAAAGCTAGGGTTTTTGGTTCGAGACTTGGATTTATCCAAACTAATTTTTTTTTAAGTCCACAAAATAATTTAAATTTTTTAATTACTATTTATGAACTAATTTATAAAATGAGTACAATACTTAAATATTTGCGAGAGAAATAATAATTACTAATTAAAGTAATTAAGAAAGGCTAAGATATCACTTAATTACATATATTAGACTAAAGAAGTTGGCTAAAAATAGAGAGTAAAGAAACTAATTTTATATGTTTAAAATGAAAAAAAAAAATATTTAAAAAAAGCTAGAAAACCTCTCCCGATGAATTTCGTTGGCACAGGTTTATCCTGGCGAAAATTTCCAGCAAGAAATTAAATCAAGCTAAGATATTATTTAATTACTGAAAATGAATTTTATTTTTCTAAAACAAAAAAAAATTATGGATCTAAATATACTAAGTTTTTTTATTTTTATTTTTTTAAACCTCTCCAGATGAAATTTCGTCGGCACAAGTCTATGCCGGCAAACGTTTGTCGGATTAGGTTTCTCTTGACGAAATTTCATCGGCAGAGGTAATTTCGTCCGGAGAGGTTGTTTTGCATTTTTAATTTTAATTTTATTTAAAATTTTAAAATATAAAATTAGTTTCTTTACTTTTGTCTTTTTGGTCAACTTCTTTAATTTAATGCATGTAATTAGGCAATACCTTAGCCTTGTTTTAATTACTTTAATTAGTAATTATGTTTTAATTATCATTTCTTTAGTGAATATTTAAATATTTTACTGATTTCGTAAATTACTCGGTAAATAGTAATTAATTGTTTTGAATTATTTTGTGGACTTGGTTTTTTGTTCTTTCATATTACATAATCATTAAAATACGCGCGTACGTGTACAAAAATGAAAGTATTATTGAAAAATACGTATGTATGTGTATAATACGAGTATTAAATGGGGAAATACTAAATTCTTTATACGGGTAATAACTATGGAAAAGTAAAAAATCAAAAGGGGACAATAGCTATACCTTGGTAATGCCCTAAAGGTAATGAATAATGCTCTAGACTAGTCTTATCGACAAAGGAAAATCAGGGAGAAAAAATTTTAAAAACCAAAAGGCACCCATTAGATATTTAAAATATTTAATAATAATTATTCACTAGAGAAATAATAGTTAGAACATAATTACTATTGAAAGTAATAAAATCAAGCTAAGTTATTATTTAATTAATAAAAAGGATTTTTTTTTTTATATATAAAAAAAAAGGATCTAAACATACTAAGTTTATTTATTTATTTATTTTAAAAACCTCTCCCGACGAAAATTCGTCGGCACAAGTCTATGCCGGCAAACATTTGTCGGATTAGGTTTCTCCTGACGACATTTCGTCGGCAGAGGTAATTTTGTCGGGAGAGGTTTTTTTGCATTTTTTTTATTTATTTTTTTAGAAATGTTAAAATATAAAATTAGTTTCTTTACTTTTGTTTTTTTGGTCAACTTCTTTAATTTAATGCATGTAATTAGGCAATACCTTAGCCTTGTTTTAATTACTTTAATTAGTAATTATGTTTTAATTATTATTTTTTTAGTGAATATTTAAATATTTTACTGATTTCGTAAATTATTTGGTAAATAGTAATTAATTGTTTTGAATTATTTTGTGGACTTGTTTTTTTGTTCTTTCATATTAAATAATCATTAAAATACGCGCGTACGTGTACAAAAATGAAAGTATTATTGAAAAAAACGTACGTACGTGTATAATACGAGTATTAAATGGGGAAATGCTAAATTCTTTATACGGGTAATAACTCTGGAAAAGTAAAAAATCATAAGGAGACAATAGCTATACCTTGGTAATGCCCTAAACGTAATGGATAATGCTCTAGACTAGTCTTATCGACAAAGGAAAATCAGGGAGAAAAAATTTTAAAAACCAAAAGGCACCCATTAGATATTTAAAATATTTAATACCAATTATTCACTAGAGAAATAATAGTTAGAACATAATTACTATTGAAAGTAATTAAATCAGGATAAGATATTATTTAATTACTGAAAATGAATTTTTTTTTTATAAAACAAAAAAAATATATGGATCTAAACATACTAAGTTTATTTTTATTTTTTAAAAAAAACCTCTCCGGACGAAATTTCGTCGGCATAGGTCTATGCCGGCAAACGTTTGTCGGATTAGGTTTTTCCTGACGAAATTTCATCGGTAGAGATAATTTTGTCGGGAGAGGTTGTTTTGCATTTTTATTTTTATTTTTATTTTTATTTTAAAATATAAAATTATTTTCTTTACTTTTGTTTTTCGGTCAACTTCTTTAATTTAATGCATGTAATTAGGCAATACCTTAACCTTGTTTTAATTACTTTAATTAATAATTATGTTTTAATTATTATTTCTTTAGTGAATATTTAAATATTTTACTGATTTCGTAAATTACTTGGTAAATAGTAATTAATTGTTTTGTAATAGTTAGAACATAATTACTATTGAAAGTAATTAAATCAGGCTAAGATATTTGTTCAAAGATCCCAAGTAATTGAAGAACTTTAAGATTGCCTCCCACCCCTACAGATAAAAAGTCACATAAAATTTTAAGATTTTCTCAGTATAATCTTGCATGCATATTTCTCCAATTTCGTTTATCGATTTCCTTACATGCCACTCCAAATTTGGCGTGCAGGTTCGTTCCACTGGAATGGTAGATCAGATCACCTGCCAGCCCATCAAAGGACGAAAGCGAGGTGGAGGTATACGTTTTGGTGAAATGGAACGAGACTCGTTGCTTGCACACATGGGGCAGCCTATCTATTGCATGATAGGCTTCATGCATGTTCTGATTATCACATTGCTGCTGTATGTTCCACATGTGGAAGCATCCTAACACCCTCAGTCATCAAGCCAGAGAAACGGGTTGCACTTGCAGTTAAGGGACTGCCCCCTGTAAGAGCTCCCAAGGTCTTCTGTCATGCTTGTGATATGAATAAAGGGATGGAGACAGTTGCAATGCCCTATGTCTTCAAATACTTAGCTGCTGAGTTAGCAGCTATGAGCATCAAAATGACCCTCCAGCTAAGTATTTGAAGCTTGATCCTGTTCCTAGAGGGAGGATCAGTGTAAAAATTATACACTGAGATGAATAGATCTTAAATTTTTTTTAATTAGTTTTTTATTCTTTTCTTGGTTGGGTATCAATTCATGCAGAATTATCCACCAAGCACACAAATAATTAGTGAATTTCTTCATCTTTCTATTAAAAATTGGTAAATTGCACGTCATTCTGCACAAATTTGTGTACTTCACAAAGAGCTTTGTCAAAGCATTCCCATAAAAGAGTAATGCAGCGTGAAATTGAATATATAATGACATGAGCTGTGTATACATAAGCTTCTAACCTAATTCATATCAGAAGAAGACCCATGAAGTTATAATTGGTGTGGGATGGCTCTGAATCAAAACTTCTGATCAGGCATTATTACCATTATCAAGACTCATTCTTGAAGATGATTGATCAATATGTCTTCTTTTGGAGTTGTACATTGATTCATCTTCACTTGCACTTCTATTTGACATCCTTTCCATTTGCCGTCTTTTGGATCGACTTTTTACTTCCTCTTCCTTCTCATCAACAAATGAAATAAAGGTTTGAAGACGTGCAGACCTCGAGCTGCCGGAAGAAATCACTTCCTCAGTGTAGTGCTTGCTGAACTGGCGCAGCATATTGATGAAATATATAATCAGAGCAAGAAAACAAGCTGAACCACAAAGAACAAAGAGGCCCCAGAAGCTTTTAAGTTGAAGCCTGTCAACTTGTAGCTTTGAGCCTTGTGAGGCACATGCACTGCTTTTAAGCCATTTATCATGGATCCTTTGTAAATCCCCATTATCTGACAGCTTCAAAATAGCAGTAGACATGTCCACTGATAAAGGTGAGTCCCTTGCAAAAGCCTGATTTGAAATGAACATGATAACTATGAGGATTCAGAACATGATATTTGGGCAACCAGTTGTGCTCACATAACACTTTCGCAATATTAAGGTTGTTTTATCAAAATGTCTTGAAGGGTCTGATTTGGTAATATAACATGTCAGATTATCTGATAAAAGAGTATTACCATGGTCATAGATATAATAGATAAAAGAGAAACTTACAAATCCCCAACCGGTTTTGGTGAAGTCTTGACCTACAATACTGAAATCACATCTGCTTGAGAGGAATAGCTCAATGTATGCACGCTCATCAATCACTGCAGCAACACCACCTCTATGGGGACCATCTTTCAAGGCTTTAGCATAATCGTCTGGCATGATAAGAGGAACGAGTCTGGACTCGTCAACGTTGAGTTCGTCAGTTAGATAACCCCTGGCAAATGAACCTTGCTGGTAGCCAATGGGATCATTGCTTGCAAGCAAAGTATCAAGTCCTTTGATGGAGGAAGAAAGCTGTTGCACTGTAAGGATTGAGGTCAAACTTGCAGTGTAGCTTGAGTTGATTATAAGAACGACAAACAGCCATATAATTAGTACCAAGCGACCCAGGGTGCTGACTGTATTTTCTCCTGCATAAGATCCCAACAAAAAAGAAAAGAAAAAGAAAGTAAATAAGCATTACTGAAGCAGCTATTAACCCATGGTTGCTGGAAAAGCTACTAAACTAGTGCGAATTTACTTACTATGGGCAAAGAACCAAGTTGAAAAGCTAAACCTGCAGAAGGAAAACACAAATTTTAAGTGATTGTCGGATTTATATCAAGAAGATTGCCATTCCTAGTACGGTGAACTCCACAAATAGACATTATGAGAAAGTAACACCAATTGACAGACACTATCTCAATGTCTTGAACAAAGTAGAGAATTATAAAGTTGCCAACATAGAATGAGATAACATGAGATACTTCTTAGTTACTCACCACAGAATAGTGACAATTTGTTTTTTAGGAGGCCCCCGAAAATCATCGTTCAACCTATGCTCTAAAATCCAAACAACTGTTCCAACAATGAGAAAGAAGGCAGCCGTGACGCCCCACATCATTGGATTGAATGGCCTCAGAAAAGCCCAAGGATTAGAATTCAACGTTGTCCTAACAGGTGCAACAACTACTAGCCCAGATTCAATAAATGGCTGTGTAAAATCTGCCATCCTTGTTCGGTTGGTGATGATTGCAATGTCACCTATTGCTCCATCAAATTCCTACAGGTAACAAGCAAATGGAAAATCAGAAAAAATATTTACCTTCTGAAGTTTTAAGAAATGCTCTGTATATGATACTCACACCCGTTTGGATTTTGTGCACAAGTTCAGTGACTCTTGGGTTCTTAACGCCATCACCAAAAGGAATCAACTTGTATGGAACAGCATAGGGCAACATGTTCAATGCAGCAGTAAAAACATCAATGCAGTACCCAGTGAACATGTCATTGCCTTCTGTGTATGAAACAAATTCACGAAAACTAACACGTTTTGGGACTCCAATCCTCAAGTGCCTTCCATTGTTTGGAAATACCCAGCCACGAGGCTTCTGTGTTGTTTGTCCTGGCCAAATCACGCTGTACAGGCTTTGACTTGAACTAGAATGATTTGGTGGCTTTGTGTATTCTGGAGGCACAACTGATAAACCTGAATAATTGGACCAGTAACCAATCTTCCTAATCCCTGTGCCAATCACATTTATGATTTCAAATGCAGGATGAATGAGGTTCCTATCCGGAGTGAAGTTAAAAGGGCCAGTTATGCCAGTCATATTAACCTGTAAAATGTTACGCAGTAACAGATTCCCTCCATTAAAGATACTCATGGCATCAAGATTCAGATCCCCTCTGCGCAGCTGAGTCAACCTTGAATCATTTGAAAATGAAATGTTTCCTCCTTGATCAAAAAAGGCATTAATTGCATGAGCAAGCAACCACACAGTGTCGTAGGCATAAAGACCACAAGCGTTCAACCCAATTTTGCCTTTCTGTCCACTAGTCAAGTTGCTCCACCTAGAAACAAATTTTCTTTTCAGTTCTGTCTCTGGTGTGTACATGCGAAATGTTAGAACTCCTTGCATATCATCCATCATACTTGACGGGAGAGGAGAGTTGGTATCTATTTGAGTAGTTAGCCAGTGAGTAGCTATCCAGACATAGCCAGTTCCCATCATGCCAAGATACTTGGCCACAGTAAACACCTGAGGACCCCAACCAGCATAAGCGTGAAGAACAATAATCCGAGACTCTGTCAAAGCCACTTTAACCAGTAAATCAGTGATGCTACTCCGGTTAGGATCAATGACCAAAGGTGCCTTGTATGAGATCTTACAACGTCTCTCAGCAAGCATATCCCCTAATGCAGCAATCCCATTTCTCCCATAGTCATCATCAACATAGAGTGCAATTACCTCTCTCCATCCGTAGTGGTCAATAATTGCGGCTACTGCAGCCATTTGATGCAGATCATTCTGGGTAGTTCTAACAAAGAATGGGAACTGAAGTGAAGACATGGTGGGGTCCGTTACTGAAAATGATAATAGAGGAACTTGGAGCTCATTTGCAATATGAGATATTGTATGAGCCGTGACAGCATTCTGAGGTCCAATTATGGCCACTGTGTCTTTCTCCATGAACCGTAAAGCTGCAGCCATTCATAGAATAAAGAACCACAATTTATTGATTTATCAGTGTTCCTATATAATGCATTTAAGAGAGATCTTACCAACTGTGAACAAAGTCGCAAGACGTACCTTCAACGATGCCCAGAAATCCACTGTAATTTGAGTCTTGCATTTGAACTCTCATCTTAGTTCCACCAAGAACAGCTGGATCAGAATTCACATCTTCAATGGCAGCTTCTATTGCCACTTTGGCCACTTTGCCAACAATGGAATCGAAAGAGAAAACAGCCCCAACATTTACAATATCTGGTCTTGTAGAGACATTCGTGCTACCCCCATTTGAGGCAACCCCATTATAGAAAACCATCAACACCAAGAGCCAAACTATATTCATCGTAAATCCCCAATTTTTAACTTGCTTTGCAAAGGAAGCAAACCAGCCACCCAGAAAGCCGTAGAATCAACTGGACTTCAAACTCATACACTGGCATAGTTAAGAAACACCGAAAAATAAGCAAGCAACTAAGAATTTCATCCAGTAACATGAAGAGAACAACTAGGTGGTGAAAGAGTATGTACACGTAAGCTCAACATCATAAACTCCACAAGAAGTAGATAAATAATTATAAATTCCCACTAATAACTAGATCTAATCATGAAACATAAGCAGATAAATGATAAGTTGAGCCCATAAACTAGAGTTTTCTGCTAAATTACCAACTAATCAGACCCATGAAGAGACAACAGACACAAAATGAAAGTAAAAAGCAGCTTGTGAGGAAAGATTTTTACTTTGAGGAAAAAGGGTGGGCTCACACCAATATTCATGTTCTAGCAACACTTAACAGTAAAAGAGAATTCCACCAACTTCATCAAAAAAGACAACTCCACCAAGGGTAAAAAAACAGTGAAAAAAGGAAAAGAAACCTTTAGAAGTTTGATTCCAGATGAAAAGACAACTAACAGTGCAGCCATTGCCTTAATCCAAAGAACTGAACCAGAACTTGGACCCAGAAATTTCTACTTTCTCTTACTAGATTAAAACAGTATAACACAGCATTTGTGACTTAAACCCAAAGAACCCTTTTGGGAAAAAACTCATTTCCCCCCAAAGGACAAGTATAATCAGGAAATTGGCCAACTGGGTTTTCTAGCAAAGAAGATGAAAGGAATTTAAAAAGCAAAAAATTATAAACTTTAGAGCTTTATGCATAAAAAAGGTCAGGGTTATACGCTAAGCAATATTGGTCAAGCATGTACACCTGAGAAAGTTTCTGAAATTGCTCGTGTATAATGAAGATAATAGTATTATTGTCAATGCAGAAAATGTGGGTTGGAAATTAATACCAGGTAGAAAGAAAGAGACACTGTTGGTTGTGATGAGAGTATGTTCCATGACATGGAGATGACGACCGCCGAATTTTCAGTGGCAAAATGGTTTTTGTGGCTGTCCTCTTTTTTCCACCGTCAGAAGTTGAGAGGTGTAAAATTCTCATAAAAAATGATTGTTGCAGGACTGTTCTTTTCGTAGATATTTTGTACCATTAACTGATAACAACGTACACAAGTGCATATGTGATATATAATTCGTTTTCTCTTGACTTTTTCTTGAGATAATTTTGTTTTCTCTTAACTTAAAAGAGTGATTAATCATTTCATATTAATTACCATCATCAGCATGATCTGATGCAACTTATTATCCCTTTTTCTTTTCCAAATGAAACAAAATCTAAAATGAGATCACTTACCAGTAACATTATTTAAGTTATGCTCATAGTTGGTGGATTTTAGTAACATCGGACATTCTCCAATAAGTATTTAAGTTAATGATTTGTTACATAAATCTAATCTCGGCCGTTGAATGATGTTTAAGAAACTACTAACGCATTTAATGAATGTAATTCAATGACCAAGATTAGAAGTATGTAACTAATTCTTAACATAAAATACTTATTAAAGAATTCTTAACATGTATGAATTATCATCTACTCAAAATTTTAAATCAAGTGGAAAATTGGTGTGACTAGACCAAATAGTCATACGAGGGAATGACTGGAAGAAATCAGTGGACCAGCCGACCTTTAATTTATCAGCAAAAGAACATCACAATAAAACCAAGCATGGTGGACCCAATAAGCCAAAATGCATATATTGCCTTGTGAAGAATTCTCAGATGCGCTAATGGATGGACCAGGACCATCGAGTGCACCACCAATAATGGTCCATGCCTCAGTTGGGTTACAATCAATCATAATTCAGAATGGTGTTTGCTTGTTTAATTTATTGGCTTTACCTGGAATGGAATCCATAGGTAGGGTAGCACGTGGTACCATAGGATCATGTGGTCCATATATTAAGCATTAAGGCCCCGTTTGGTTCACGGAATGAATTTGATGTGAAATCATTTCCCATGTCATTTTCCAAGGGATGGGAAATGGTGATTCCTTTCACATATTTGGTAATGCCGGGAAAGTGACCCGGAAATATCACTTTATTTCCTTTCCCATGTTTGTTTTGAGTAGGAATGGAAAACAAATTTTGTTTAGTTTCCCAATTGTACCCCTATTAAAATAATAAAAAAATACCAATAATTGTTGGATAAAAATTGTAATTATGAATTGTTAGTAAGGACAAATTAGTCAGAAAAAAAGTTAGTCTTACTTTCTCATGGGAAGGGAAAGTAAAACCCAAGTAGGAAGAAAGGATTCACTTTCCCTCCTACTTTCCCATGTGCTAGGCAACGCTTTCCCATGCCTGACTTACCAAATATGGGAAAGCAATTGGTTTCCCATCCCCAAGATTCCTTTCCCATGAACCAAATGCCCCCTAAGAATTGTCTGTTTTCACAAAAAGGATTTTGATCAATGCATCTAGTATCTAATATTCTTTTCTAAAAAGTTCCCAATTTTTTTGTAGAAAAATTGAAAAGAAAATAATCGAAATATAAAAAGTTATGAAGAAAGTTGTGTATGAAAAGATGTAAGAAAAAAACCCGTTGGAAACATTTTGGGGCCATGGACAAGCCGAACTCTGAGTGGGAATTTATCTCAATTTTCGAGTGTAGGGACACCTCGTGGTATTTACAAAATATAAAACAAGATGTAAGAAAAAAAAGTGTAAAGTAAAATGTCTGGTCCAGTCTACAGATATTTTATTGGGCTACAAGCCAGGCTCAAACCTCATTCTAGCCCATATTTAGCGTACGTGCCAATTTGTTGGGCTTTTTTGGCAAGCTTTGACCCCAATTCACGGGTTCAACTGCCCTTAATTTTTTTATTTTTTATTTTTATACAAGTGATATTAGAGAAAGGGGAATTGAACCTAAAGACTTATTATATATAGATAAATACTCTTAATTATTTGACCGCTACAAATCACTTACTTATTTTTCACTTTTATCATTATCTCAAAGTTTAGACGCTTTCATCCAAACCATTGATGCTACTATCTTCATGCACTATTTTACTTGAGGCCTTCTCAGTCCTCATTCTCTTGGGTCTGCTTTTCACTTCTCGCTCCCTTTTATTTACAAATGAAACGAAAGATTGAAGACGTCTAGATTGTGAGCTCTCACAGTCAGAATCAGGATGCTTGTAGTATTGGTGCACCATGCGAATAACATGAAGAACAAGAGCAAGAAAGCAAGCTATGCCACTCAGCAGAAAAAGGCCCAAAAGCTCTTTATCTGAAGGCGATCTACAGCTTGCTTTGCTCCTTCTGCACTGCAAGCACTTTTCATCAGCCACTTGTCATGAATCTTTTGAAGATCACCTTTCTCTGATAGTTTAAGTACTGCAGTTGACATGTCAATTGCTAGTGGAGAGTCCCTTGGAAAGGCCTAAAATGAAAAACCAACTATTATTATAAGCATACGACAATAGACAGTTTGTCATGTTATGTTGTCTGAGATTGAGATTGAGAGTATGACAACATAAGGTATCAAACTGTATATATGTCACCAAAAAAAAAAAAAACAAAGCAAAAACCAAATGTTACAATGAGATTGAAGGATATGATACTTACAAAACCCCATCCCATTTTGGTGAATTCTTGACCTACAATGCTATAACTGCATCGAGAAGAGAGGAAGAGTTCCATGTATGCACGCTCATCGATCACTGCAGCAACACCGCCTGCGCTGGGGCCATCTTGCAAGGCTTTCTCATATTCTTCTGGTGAGTTAAGAGGTACAAGTCTGGACCTGTGTATGTTTAGCTCATCGGTTAAGTAGTTTTCGGCAAATGAACCCTTCAGGAAACCAATGGGATCACCGCCTGTTGCTAGACTTTCAATCCCTTTAACAGGTGAAGAAAGCTGCTCCACTGTGAGGATTGAGGTCAGGCTTGCAATGTAGCTTGAGTTGAGTATTAGAACTACAAATAGCCATATGATTAGCACGAAGCGACCAAGTGTGCTGCCTGTTTTTTCTTCTGCATATGTTACCAATAAGGAATAAGATCAAACAGTTATAGAAAGTAACATTTAACATAATATAAGCTTCTTGGTTCGTTTCACTTACTCTGGGAAAAGAACAGAGTTGAAAAGCTAAACCTGCGAGAAGAAAGCAATAATTATATACCAATTAGAGAGTTTAGATCAAGAGATGATTAAAAACAAACCAAGAAAATCTTGGTGGAATGTATTGAAATTTTGCATTTGAAGATGTGGATTGAAGCACTTACCAAATAATTGTGACAAATTGCTTTCTTGGAGGGACCCGAAAATCCTCGTTTGTCCTACGCTCCAAAATCCAAACTACTGTTCCAACAACTAGGAAGAAAATGCCTGTGACACCCCACATCATTGGAGTGAAAGGTCTCAGAAAAGCCCAAGCACTAGAGTTCAACTTCCTTATTGGAGCAACCACAACTAAACCAGACTCAATATATGGCTGTGTGAAATCCACCATCTTTGTTCTGCCAGTGGTGATGGTAATATCTCCAACCACACCATCAAACTCCTGTATAAAGATTGAAATCCAAAGAATTAATAATTATAGTAATGTCAAGAAAAGTCTAAATAGTTTCTGTTTTGTAGTTTATACTTTATGCTTACACCAATTTGGATCATGTGCAGAAGTTCATGGTTTTCTGGGTTCTTTTTACCATCCCCAAAAGGGACAAATTTATATGGGACACCATATGGTAACTCATTCAATGCAGCTTGAAAGATCTCAATGCAATAGCCAGTGAATTCTGTGCCTTTTATGCCCACAAACTCAAGATAGCTAACTCGATTTGGGACACCAATCCTGAGCTTTCTTCCGTTGTCAGGGAAAACCCACCCACGAGGCTTCTGAGTTGTTTGTCCAGGCCAGATGACGCTGTATAGTCGTTGAGTACCGGTGCTGGAGACATTAGACTGCAGCTTCCTTTGAGGTTTTTCTGGTGGATCAAGTGAGAAACCTGAAGAGTTGGACCAATAACCAATTGTCCTAGTCCCTGTGCCAATCACATTGATGACTTCAAATGCAGGATTAATCAAGTTCCCATCTGGATTAAACTTAATTGGCCCAGTTAAACCAGTTGTGTTAACCTCTAAAATGCTTTGGAGTAGCTGAGAATTGGGGGCCAATTATGGCCACTGTGTCATTCTCCATGAACTGCAAAGCTGTCAAGGAACAATAAATATCCATCATTCTTACTAAGACTTGTGTAAAGGAACTGATAAAACTTTTGAGTGAAAACATGGGAAATTTAATTAGTGTGTACCCTCAATGATGCCCAGAAAGTCACTAGATTTGGTATTCTGCATTTTAAGTGTCAGCTTTGTTCCATTGAGAATTTGTGGATCAGAATTGACATCTTCGACTGCAAGGGCTATTGCAAGTTTTGCAATTTTGCCAATGACAGAATCGAAAGTGAAAATCGCGCCTATGTTGACAACGTCAGGTCTTGCAGTAGTAACATTAGCACCAAGTCCATTTGAAGAAGCACCATTATAGAAAACCATAAATAGCATAAGCAACAAGGCTTTGTTCATGATGGTGGTCTGCACACTGCAAAAGGACCCAAATATCTAAAGGGAAAGAAAAGTTGGTAATTAACAACAAAAATAAGAGAACATGCTCCAAAAACACATGCATGAAGTTGACCAAATATCCAACAAAGCAATATGAATAAGATGAATGTGAAGGACATAAAGAAAAAGGAACGAAGCTTACATTATTTGCTCTCAACTCAAGACAAATATGTATGCAAAAGCAAGAACAAGCAAACGGATTATATAAGCACCGAAGCTACCCTGCCAACTAAGAGCTACCCCATTAGTCTGCGGCGTCTAGGTGTGAATTGGACTGCGCACTGTTTGGAAATTGCTAAGTGAGACAAAAGTTGTAACAAAAGGTCAGAAACCAAATAAACGACATCATTATGGGATCACAAATGTGGCTGATATTGTGCACAAATTATAACATAAACAAAATTTTGACTTTTTTATTTGCATTTTATTGGACTTTTTTTTAACGTTTTTTGTCCCCTTAAAATGAAGTAATTGTGTTTTGAAATTTTTTCTTAAATGACAATGATTTTGGGTTATTTGAAATTTATACATAAAGACCTTGAAAATTTCTTAAATGACAACGATTTTCGGATGTTTGTTGTATAATGTGGGATGATGAGTTTGAATGGTTGGGGTAGAGAGAGATATGTAGGAGTTATAATTGTGTTTCCCCTCCACAACCATGTTGTAAAAGTGAGTAAAACTCCCATTTCTAGGGAACCAAGATGGCCTCTGATTAAGCTTCAGTTCAGTCTCATATGTAACTTACGGCGAGAAATCAAGTTTTAGAAGCACCTAAAATGACCCGAGATTTTTGTTTCAAATTCAATCGATGCTTGTTCAAGCCTTTTATTTTCTTCCAAACTTGGACATCCAAGAGTCACTATGCAGTATGCTCTGCGGATAGAGAGAAACACTCCATAAAATCACTTAAAACCACTTAAAGTGATTATTAACCTATGCAGAATCACTCCCAAAGGAGCCCTATATATTCTTCATCAAGTGATTCAAGTTTATGAAATAAGACTAGTTCAAAACTTTGCCGGCTTTAGTTTCTGCTATTGTCATCAAGATTGCAAAAGTTGCAAGTAATATGGGGCGTGAGATGAATATAATTGAATATCTTGGAAGCGGATCTGATTTCAGGTCAAACTCATTTCATTAGAATGCAAATTGCAATGCACCTACCTGAGGTAACAATTGTTATACAATTTACATAAAATCGATGGGGGATCAAAATTATCAAGTTTTTGGAGAAGAATATGCCATTTTGTCCACACATCGCGTAGTGGATTAAGGCACATCCATATGGGATGAGCAAATGAGCAACCGATAGGCACATCCATTCACGGTCACTCTCCACTAGATGAGGAATATTATGCGTGCTTGACTACATTTTAAGCACAAAAGTTGCTTTGTGAATTTTTTAAAGGAAGAACTTTGTAAACTGACACCGAATCTGACCTCCTCTAAATATCACATGGTGCATTCATCTCATTTAAGTCAAGTCCGTTACAATGTTTTCTATTTTTGATTCATGTATGGTAATTAATTGTGGGCATTATGCGTTGGTGCATGTATGGCTAATTAAGAAGGCTATCCTATTCATGGAGGATTGTTCCATGAACACTATGTAAACCCTTCACCCCTTTACGGAATAAACGGACAAGAATTTGAGTGAGTTTTCATAGCCTTTGGCTTTCTAGAAGAAGGAGTTCTTCTAACTTCCCGACTCTTATCTCTTTGGTGGATTCCTTAGAGTGGCGAGTTACAGACCCTCGAGTCTCACTTGTGTTTTCTCACTTAATCTCTGCAAAATCCGGTGTCATAAACAATAGAAGATTAGGGGAATGTTTTATTCAAAAAGAAAAAAAAAGGATAGAATAATAACTCTGAATTAAAATATAAAGAGGGACATAACGCAATCCATGAGAAATTCTCTCTTTATAATCACCATCGATAGTATATAACTATGTGTCTCTCTCGTCAAATAGTGTAAATGAGACAAAATATAGAATTATATATAAGTATACAACCGTTAATAGGGAAGAATTACTCGATATAGGAAGAGAGGGATGATATGCTAAAGTGGACTAACCACGAAACTAATTGAAGGACAGTAGTTGACTTTGGAATTGGAAGGGACATTGCTAAATGATCATGGATGCAGAAAATTATCAAGCGACAACAACCAAGTTCCATGGGGTGAGTGAGAGGGGTTTCTGTCATTTCAAGAAACCCACGTATTTCTGCATACTTCAAATCAATCCTCCTTATCTCACAAATTATAATCTGTGCATGTGTTATAATTTGTATGAACTCATAACACTATGTCATATGCATTATTATATTAACATTCCACAATGCAATTATAAGGGCATGACATGTTAATAACGTGGCCTAACAAGTCCACGCAAGCAGCCCACCACAGGTCAACACAGTGATCCAACACCATGATCTGCAATTGTTGGGTAAATCTCAATTATGCTAATGCTTGTTGACCGTTTTCTCTCTGTGTGTGTATATTATATATATATGTAAAACACATGGTTGTGTAAAAGTAAAATCCATCTTTTTTGTTCGGCTTGTGCTGATTCTTGATGTCACCAACCACAAGCCTTACTATATGGAAGATAAGTACGTAGCAAGTATACTAATTTGATTTAATTCAATTATGCTCCAATTTGCAGTCATCAAAGCATGCAGAGATGCATATAGTAGAGCTATTTGATATTATACACATACATGAGCTTGATACAAGTTGCATTCCTAATTAAATACACTGATTAAACACTTCGGTCCTCCAAACCACTGATGGAGCTATCTTCAAGCAATAATTTATTTGATGCTTTCTCCGTCCTCCTTCTCTTAGCTCGGCTTTTCACTTCTTGTTCCCTTTTGTTTACAAATGAAACAAAGGATTGAAGACGTCTAGACTGTGAGCTCTCACAGTCGGAATCTGAATACTTGTAGTATTGATGCACGATTCGAATAACATGAAGAATGAGAGCAAGAGAGCAAGTTATGCCGCTTAGCAGAAAGAGGCCCGAAAAGCTTTTCAGTGGCAGGCGGTCTACTGCTTGCTTTGTTCCTTCTGTGCTGCAAGCACTTCTTTTCAGCCACATGTCACGAATCTTTTGGAGATCCCCCCTCTCTGATAGTTTCAATATCGCGGTTGACATTTCAGTTGCTAGTGGCGAATCCTTTGGAAATGCCTAATGAAAAAACCAGCAACATGCTATTAATCACTTCAGAAAAAGGCCATGAAAGGCCTAATCAGTTAGTTCAAAAATTAACAGTTTGGCAAATAGCATGTCAGATTGTGAATCTCTACAGTCGTTTAGCATGTATTTTCGAGCAGGAATTATACAAAAGGCCATGAAAGAATATGATACTTACAAAACCCCACCCCATTTTGGTGAATTCTTTACCTACAATACTATATCCACATCGGTTGGAGAGGAAGAGCTCCATGTATCCACGCTCATCAATCACAGCTGCAACACCACCTGCATTGGGACCATCTTGCAAGGCTTTCTCAAATTCTTCTGGTGAGTTAAGGGGCACAAGTCTGGAACTTTGTATGTTTAGCTCATCAGTTAAGTACTTTTGAGCAAAGGAACCATTTGAGAAACCAATGGGATCATTGCCTGTTACTAGACTTTCAATCCCTTTAATAGGGGAAGAAAGCTGCTCCACTGTGAGGATTGATGTCAGGCTTGCAATGTAGCTTGAGTTGATTATTAGAACTACAAATAACCATATGATGAGCACAAAGCGACCAAGATAGCTGCCAGTTTCTTCTCCTGTATATGTTACAAAAGACTAAGAACCAGTTATATTTGTAAGATTGGTGCATAACACAAGTTTCCCTATCGATGTATAAGTCAAGTAGCATGGATACAGAACTAAAGCGCTATGTAGTAAACTTACTCTGGGAAGAGAACAGAGTTGAAAAGCTAAACCTGCAAAGCCCCACGGAAAAAGGATATAAAATATGACATACCAGTTGGGGAGTTCGTCCCAATTAAAGAGATGAAGATCAACCACCTAAGGAAATACTTGTATACAATTTGCTACATTTGCATTTTGATATATGGATTGAAACACTAACCATAGAATTGTGAAACATTGTTTTCTTGGAGGGCCCCGGAAATCCTCGTTTGTTCTACGCTCCAAAATCCAAATAACTGCTCCCACAGCTAGGAAGAAAAGACCTGTGACAGTCCACATCATTGGGGTAAAAGGTCTCAGAAAAGCCCAAGCACTAGAGTTCAATTTCCTTATTGGAGCAACTACAACAAGTCCAGACTCAAAATATGGCTGTGTAAAATCCACCATCTTTGTTCTGCTAGTGGTAATGGTAATGTCTCCTACCACACCGTCAAGCCCCTGCGTGAATATGGAAAACCAAAAAACTATATTAAGATGAGAAACATGCATACAATATATGTTAAGCAAGTCCAAATAATTTTATTTTGTAATTTATACTCACACCATTTTGCATACTGCGCAGAACTTCAATGGGGTCTTGATTTTTTTTCCCATCTCCAAATGGGACAAACTTATATGCCCCTCCATATTGTAACTCGTTAAAGGCAGCTTGGAAGACCTCAATGCAATAACCAGTGATATCAGTGCCTTTTACATTTAGAAACTCGCGGTAGCTAACTCGACGTGGAACTCCAATTCTGAGCTTTTTTCCATTGTCAGGGAAAACCCACCCACGAGGCTTCTGAGTTGTCTGTCCAGGCCAGATAACGCTGTATAGTTGCTGAATACTGGTACTGGAACCATTATACTGCAACTTATTTTGGGGCTTTTCTGGAGGGTCAACTGATAGGCCAGAAGAATTGGACCAATAACCAATAGTCCTAGTCCCTGTGCCAATCACATTGATGACTTCAAATGCAGGATTAATCAAGTCCCGATCTGCATTGAACTTAATTGGCCCAGTTACACCAGTTGTATCAACCTCTACAATGTTTTGGAGCAACTGGCTGCCACCATTAAAAATTTTCAAAGCATCAAGATTCAACCTTCCTCCTTGTAAATCGCTTAAGTTTGAGCCATTGGAGAATGAGACATTTTCCCCACGAGCAAAAAATGAATCAATGGCATTAGCAAGAAGCCATACAGAATCATAGGCATATAGACCATACGTATTTAGCCCGAAATAAGAGACATTAACTCTTCTCGCTCTTGTCAAATTGCTCCACCTCGATTTAAATTTTGTTTTGAGTTCCGATTCTGGTGTGTACATGCGCAATGTAAGAACCCCTTGAATGTCCTTTGTTGGTAGGGAAGGATCTGTGTCTAATATGGTAGGCAACCAATCAGTAGCAATCCATACATATCCACTCCCCATCATCATGAGGTTTTTTGCTTCACTAAACACTTGAAGACCCCAATTGGTATAAATATGTACGATGAGAATCCTAGACTCCATCGAAGATGCGCGAATCAGTGCTTTGGTAATATCATCTTTTGTTGCTTTGGGGTTCAGAGGCACTTTGTATGAAACTTTGCATCGTTTCTCACCTAGCTTAACCCCTAAAGCAGCAATGGCATTTCTCCCAAAATCATCATCTATGTAAATTGCTATGACCTCTCTCCACTCATAGAAAGCAACAAGGTCTGCTACTGCAGTCATCTGAAAGAGATCACTTCGTGCTGTCCGAACCAAGAAAGGGAACTGAACTGGAGACAGTGTGGGGTCTGTTGCTGCAAATGATAATAAAGGGACGTGTAACTCATTTGCAATGTGTGAGACCACACGAACGGTAGCTGAGAATTGGGGGCCAAGTATGGCTACCATGTCATTCTCCATGAACAGCAAAGCTGTGAAGGAGCAACAAAAATATCAACTTAGTTCTTAGATTCTATGACTTATGTAAGGGAACTTCTAGGAGACATAGGAAAGTCAACAATTTTGTACCTTGCTCAACGATTCCCAGAAAGTCACTAGATTTGATGTTCTGAATCTTAAGTATCAATTTTGTTCCATTGAGGAGTTTTGGATCGGAATTAACATCTTCAACTGCAATGGATATTGCAAGTTTTGCAATTTCGCCAATGACAGAATCGAAAGGGAAAATAGCACCAATGTTCACAGTGTCAGGTCTTGCAGTAACATTAGTACCAAGTCCCCTAGAAGAAGATCCATTATAGAAAACCATCAACACCAAGAGCCAAACTATATTCATCGTAAACCCCCAATTTTCACCTTGCTTTGCAAAGGAAGCACACCGGCCACCCAGAAAGTGGTAGAAAGAAAGTTCTGAAATTGCTGGTGTATAATGAAGATAATAGTATTGTTATGCAGATAATGTGGGTTGGAAATTTATACCAAGTAGAAAGAAAGAGACATTATTGGTTGTGATGAGAGTGTGTCCCATGACATGGACATGAAGACCTCTGAATTTTCAGTGGCAAAATGGTTTTGTGGCTGTCATGTTTTCTTCACCCTTAAAAGTTGAGAGGTGCAAAATTCTCATAAAAATTGACACACACACACACACAAACAACAACAACCAGTGGATAGGCTCCAAAAGACTGATACTGGCTCATACTAAAATAACATGCCTTGAAGTTGTCCAAATATCTCATTAACCAATATGAATTGAATAAGGTAAACTTGAAGAAGGACATAAGTAAAAATAAATGAAGCTTACATTATTTGCTGTCTTAAGCCAAATATATATAAGATCTCCAACAAGCAGGGCCAGTAACTGTAAGTATGTTTACTTTGTTGTGAAAATGGACAAACACTTTCACTCACTCCCCTAATGATCTTGTTGTTGATGGACTTTGTGACACACACAATGATGGATGAATCACACACACACACACACACAC